CCAACGTTTGAGTACAATGCCATGATTCGGCTTCACCTGTCGATGCCCAGATTTTCACTTCCCGATTCATTGGCCCCTGAAAATGTCCCTTTTAGAATCGAGTGTCTAGTAGACGATAAAAGATGCGTTGAAAAACTCGTAATTTATGTACCCCGGGGATAAGTAAGATATGATCGGGGCGCTGTGGAGCAGCCAAGAAAACGGCTGAATAAACATGTTGGACGTCACGTGGACGCAGAATTGCAATAGGTTGTGACTTCCGATCGTCCCAAATCTTTATCTGCAACCGCAAACGTAACATATTGTTTAATAACTAATTGTGGATAACGAGATACAGTTAAAGATTTATAAATTAATTGCAAAATTCTATTATTTTAGCGAAATATTAAATTGGGGAAATGTGGGATAACCCCCTAGTTTTGAAAATATATAGGGATAGGTCCTAAGGATTTTTCTTTCCTAGTTAAAAACCCAAATTCTAATCTTAATTTGATAGACCCCCCTAGACAAATTAAAATACCTATTTTACCCTTTAGTTACAATTAAAAACCCTAGATCTCTCAACTCTCGTTCCCTTCTCTCTTCATCCTCCACCGCCGTTTATCCTCTCTCTCTCAAATTTCAGTAGCTTTCACTTCTCTCTCTCTCTCTTCTCTATTCTCTCCTCTCTCTCTCTCTCTCTCTCTCTCTCTCTCTCTCTCTCTCTCTCTCTCTCTCTCTCTCTCTCTCTCTCTCTCTCTCTCTCTCTCTCTCTCTCTCTCTCTCTCTCTCCTGTACAAATTCCATAAAGTAAAAAAACTTAAGAAAATTCGGCAATGGCGGTCTCAAGCTCCAGCCACGCCCAAAGCCTGCTCCAACAGCAGCACCAATGGCGGCTCCGCCCACGCCGGTGGCGGGAGCACCAAGTCCAACACCATCAGCCAGCCGTCTGATTCCCCCACCGCTCTTCCCCCTGCTTCTCCCACTTCTCACTGTCACTTTGTTGCTAACAGCCGCCCACTGCCACACCGCCGCCCACCACCGCCTATCGCTCACCGCCGCCACTGTCACCGGTAAACTTAATTTCTGCATCAGTTTAAGATGCTTCAATAGCATAAGAAAAAAGCTTCTTCTTTGAAGGGTTCCTAATTAATTGGGTTTGTTCTTCTTTTCTATTTGCTGATTCGATTTGTTAACTTAATTGATTTGAATATTCCATGAATCAGGTGATAAGATCTTCAATTTCCTTTTTGCATATTTGTTTTGCTTGTGCTAATTGTGAGCCTTGTGCTGAATATTAGGTTTTTAGGTTGAAAGGCATTCTCTGTATAAAAGTTATCATTTATTTTTTATTTTTTTAATGAGATTCTAGATTTTTAAATATTAGGTTCCACTTAAGTTAAATAGTTAGATTATATTCTATGTTTTTTATGTTTTTAGGTTGAATTGCTCTATTCTTTGTTATACTGAAGCTAAACTGCATCTTTCACACGATTCATAGGTAACCATTGGAAATTTCTGATACGGTTTTAAAGATATGTGTTAGATCCACGAACCTAAAATTTTGATACTGCAAAGTTACTATACATACTTATTTTTAAGAAGAAATTATTCTGTGTGTGGATGCAACTCTGTGTTAATCGATATTTGTCGGTCGACGATAATTTAGTAACATGTAGTAACATATGCACGTGATTGCGTGTTTCGATTTATATTTATTGGTTATGAGTTGATTTATAATATAAATATTTAAATTGAACCTGTTTTTTTTCAACAGGTTTTGGTGTTTGAACACCTTCTATGCACTAAGCTTTTGCCGAGAGGACATGTTGTTCGTCAGTTCGAAACAGTTGTCGATTAGATCGAAGTTACTGTCGTGTTGAAAAGTAGGATTTGAAGCCATAAATACAAACTATACTATATACTCTTATAGTCACATGTGGTCATATACATGTAGTCATATATAGTCACATGTAGTCATGTACATGTAGTCATATATAATCATATGTAGTCATATACAAGTAGTCATATATAGTCACATGTTGTCATATAGATGTAGTCATATATAGTCACGTGTATTAATATATAGTCACATGTAGTCATGTACATGTAGTCGTATATAATCATATGTAGTCATATACAAGTAGTCATATATAGTCACATGTTGTCATATATATGTAGTCATATATAGTCACATGTAGTAATATATAGTTATATATTAGTTATGTGGTTTTTCCTGATGTACAGTGATGTTGGTGTTTTTCTAATTCTTTTGTTGGGTACTAATTGATTTATAATATCAAGTTCCAAATTGTGAATTTTGTTGATGTAGACGAAGTTTTTTTTATATATATATAATCAACCGTCTACATAATCGTTCGACCGTAATTTTGTTGTAAAAAACAGTTCATGACTACATATAATTATACTAATATACTATTTATAGTCAATTTCTGTACAGGAAACTTATTGAGTAAATAATTTAAAAACTAATATAAGAAAAATAAAAAAAAAGAAAAATAAAATTAAAATAATTAAAAGAAAAGTAAAAGGAAATTAAAAAATAAAAAAAATTACAAAAAGGTATATATATATAAAAAAATAATAAAATAAACATTTATATTTTTTATTAAAAAAATCTGTAAAGGTGGTAAATGCAGGTCAAAAATGCTAAAATGCAGTTGGTGGAATGCTGAATGCAGTTGGGTGGAAATTGAACATAAGGGCCCAATAGTATTTTTACCTCTCCAGGGGGTTATCTCAAAGAAAGAATTTTAGGGGTGGACCTAGCCCTATATAAGTTGCTTATGATGGGTGTATATCAAATGGGCCCTATTAAATTATCGAACTAATAATTTAATACGTTTACTGCGAGTTGGACCGGGACAAATTATTGTTTGAGCGAGATTATTGATTTATCGAGTATTAATTTATCGGGGTTCAACTGTATTAAATGGCGGACGTAAGCATGCATGCCGTATCTAGGGCTAAAATATTGGAGGGCCGCTTCAACATCAGCAAGAATCACAAAGGCCTTACGGAATAAGTATTTTTATGTTCCGTTTTTTTATTTTCCGACTTCCGCAGTATCGATCCTCAAAACACGTCTCCCAATTGCAACTACAAGAACTTCAATTCCTGTCAAGCGAAAATTCGACGGTGAATAAAGAATTCAGTTTCGAAAACAAAAAAAAGTCGAACGTTGCTTACTTGCTTATCGTAAATTGAATCGTAACGATTATCGTTCCACTAATTTGAGGCTTGTCATCTTCATCCGGACCTTCGGTAATCTTCCAGACGTAAACCCGGCCATCCACGCTGGCACTGTATATTAAGTCAAGAATGCATCGTTACAGGAGACGAATATACATAAAACAATTTTAAATAAAAAATAAATGTAAATAAATTAAGGACAACAAAAATGATTGTTTTAAGAGTGGCGAGTGCATTATCCTGTTTGTTAATTAGAAAACTCTTTTCTTCAAATAAAAATACTTAAATTTTATTTTTTTTTTACGTAAATTTAATTGTTAAAAATTATAGAAGCACAACGCAAAGGCAATAAATCGTATATCAATATATAGTAGCTAGTATACAAATTTAAAATTTGTAATGGGAGTGACCTCAAGCTGAGGCTGCGCCTCTCCCGGAAACCTAATGTTAAATGTCGTAAACCAAACGATATATCCCCGATCAGATGCCGCCCTTTGGGAGGCTAGCTTACTGCTAGGGTTTTGGGGATTAGGGGAATTTTGGAAATTGGAGTGTTGGGGCTGGTGCCGGGCGTTTTCGATCTCATGGTGGTGGGGCGGCGGTGGCGGCGGAGAATTGAAATAGGCGGTGTACACTTCTTGAGGGTGGTAGTGGAAAGGTGGCGGCGGCGACGCTTGATGGCCGGGGGTGGAGAAGCGCGCCGCTGGTGGGCGGAGGGTAAGAAGCCATCTCCGCCGCAACTCGGAAATGGCAAATAACTCCGTTACTAGCTCGTCGGAGATTGTTTCCAGTTAGGGAGATCTCGAATATTTTAGGGATAATCGAAAGCTGACTGTGTGTGTGTGTGTACAGTGATATGACTGTTGTATGTATAGGTTGAGTGAGAAAGTATATAAGGTGGAGTGTGTGTGTGTGTGTGTGTGTGTGCATGTACAGTAATAATATGAGTGATATATGAGTGATGTATTGTATGTATCTTAAGCTGCAGCCAAAACCCTAACCAAACCCTAAGGTAGTGTATTTGAATTTTAAAAGGTTCTTATTGTAAATGCCTAATAATAATTTATTAATTCATTTTATCATTTTTAAAGAATTTGGGAAAGAAAGAAGTTGTAATATTCTTTTTAACTCGAGCCCAAAAATAAAAACTCGAACCCGTCAAAATGAATTCGAGCTCGAGTTAGCCAAAACAGTCAAACTCAACTCGAGTTCGGCTGGTTCACACCCGTATATGGTACAAAATTATATAGTGGGAGCAGTTGGAAGTGAAACAAGCTGACCTAATTTTCATCCTAACATTCCTAACCAAGACAATTCATTAAACGACATTTGATGCATATACAAAAACTATAGGTTAAAAAGATAACTAAAGTAAAAAAAAATATATTGTTACCTAAAAAATATTATTTCAAAATATAATAAGTTGGAAAATTTGCTATTTTTTTTTCTTTTCCTTTTTTAATAATTAAACCAAATTTGCAACCTGAGAAAGCGTCAAAATGCAATTAAATCATTTACACCCCACAAAAATTAATAAGGTGAAAGTGAAAAGTCACCAACTTTTTGAATAATAATAATAATAATAATAATAATAATAATTCCTGAAAACAGAAACAATATAATGCGTGCGATAACCGCTTTCAAGAACGTGATTAAAAAGGTACTCTTGAATTCAACAACCACTAATCCTCCTCTCTCCGTTTCTCTCTCTACCACCTCCCCTCCCCTCTTTCTCTCTCCTCTATATATATATATATATATATATACACTCAAAATCCTTCATTCTTTTTTTCCCACGTCTGATTATTATTTATTATATAAACCCATCAATAAAATCTTGCAAGTAATCAACAAGAAAGGGATTGATTAATTATTTATCAGGAGAAGAAATTTGAAAAGATGTGTTGTGGGACAAGAGTGTGTTGTTTCTGCATGTGTGTGATATTGGTGGTGATGGCGATTGGGTTTCTCTTCGGATTTGGGGTTTTCAAGCATGGCTTCCACAAGTTGGAGAACACAATCCACAACTCCGGTCCCTCCTCCGCCGCCGCATACGGTGGCGGGCGTCCCTTCTTTGTTTACAATGCGCCGCCGCCCTTTTAGGGATCTTCAGTAATTCTTTCGATTTTATAGTTCTTTTTTTTAATGGTGGATTTTTATATTAGTTGCTATGTTTATGTTAGTGTAGGTTAATTATTGTTTTTTCAAAGGGACTATTGACTATTTGTTGTTAATATGGTGGACTATTAATTATTATTTATTGATTTTTATTTTTTTATGCCCTTTTTTTTTTCTTTTTGGTTTGGTTTTAATAATATCTTGTAATTTTATTTTATACTACACCTATCCCATATTATTTATTTTTTCAGATTGTTAATGAAGTATTAATTGCATTATGTTAATTTACTCATAATTAATTAGCTGTAAAACAATTAATATCAAGAATAATTTACACACAATCCTCACTATAAGCATAGCCGAAAAAACAAAAGAATATATTTTTTTATTTAAAAGGAAAATAAACACTATCAAAATTTCGTAAAATACACATTCTTATGTGGATTTGAAAAAAATTCGCTACACAAACAATTATGGTCTTTCTCAACCCTTGGTCGATCTTCGTTGTACATCGGCATCGTAGTGTGCAAAGGCGGCATCTAGAGCCTATCACAAATAAGAACCATCCGTAATTTGACGAAGAAATAAAAAAACAACCATAATTGCCCGATTTTTTCGAAAAAAAAGAAAAAGAAAAACATAAAAATGGTTACAAGCGAGTCTGTAATCACCTGAAGCATCGGGTGAACAAGAAGAGAGACTTGATGCCTGAAATCAGACGGCACTGATTCCTTAATCTCCTGTAAAATATGTCGGAAGATGAAAAAATAGTTACCGGCAGATGACGTATAGAAAAACGGATAAAGTACCTGCAACTTCAGATAAATCTGCGACATAGCGTCTTTCATTCTGGTAACCTGTAAATAATTTTGAATATCAATTGAGCCAAATGAGTCTGTAAAACGAAATAGTATTTCTCTAGTTCCTTTTTCTTCGATTTTAAATACCCAAACCCTATTGAGCTTTAACGGTGAATGCTAGCTACTACTAACTCTCTTAATGAGAGTCGAATTACGCATTCTCTATCATTAAAAGGGCTTAATGTTGTATCGTGTTTCGAGAAAAAATATGATCATTGCAATGTTTCTTCAAGGGAACTGGCTACAAACTTAAATAATCTACACTAAACATTTATATATACAATTAATTTTTCGAAACTGAGATTGAAGAAACTAATTACCTTTGTATAGAGGTACTTCGTCGTAATTGGGTAAGACGACCAGAAGTGTTTCAACAGTTCCTGAACGGAAGTCCATTGCTGCAAAAGGAAAAAAACTTAGTTAAATAAATACTGTATATCCTGACTGAAACACTATATTTTAGCATCGAAGTCGAATTTCCGTGTAAACTTACAATCAAAAGTTCATCTTTCGTTGATTTTGGCAATCTGTCCAGGACACTCTCGTGTGGATTGCTTCCAAGATGAAACTTGGTGCTGGAGATATTCTGGGTCAATGCGCTGAGGACCTATTAATAACACTACCAAGTTAAATTACGTCTATCAAAACAAAAGCACAAACAAAGGCGTGTGTGAAAGATTCAATACCTTAAGAGCAACCTCGTGACTCATCACTGGTTCAGTCAAACCCATGACTCTATTGTGAGAGACGAGATTCTTTAACGAACCATAAGCTTCATGTGAACTGACGCTGGATTTTAATGTTCTTTCACCTCCACTACCATCGGCCAATGCTTTTAGCGCATTAGCTTGTTGAGAATCAAAGTAGTCGCGCGGATCCTGTTTGAAGAATTTAGACATGTTCAGAACACGCAAATACGTAAGGGACTTGTGTGGTTTAAAAGTCAAAAAAGACAATCAAACCTTAATACTGAGGGGGGCGACTGCAGGATCTCGAGGCCCCTGAAGATCCTCCATTTCGGCCATTCGAGAAATCCTGTCTGAGATATCTCTCTCTAAATTCCTGGTGGATACTTCGTCAGAAAGTTCCGCTGCAAATATACAAACATCGATAAGCCGACTCATTGGAATATCAAATAGAAATAAGCGGTGTTTATATTTGTGAAAACGCGGAAAGTGCTGTTCTGACCCTGTTTTATCCTGATAATGGCTTCAGCAACAGACCTTGTATCTCTTAGCTCGGCATCTGTTCTCAGATTAATGACACGAACAAAAAAAATAAGGCCTTCATATACTTCAAACTAATTGTCTAATTCTCACCAGACATCATTTTTAATAGGTTTGACCATGTTATAATAGAAATTACTTACATGTAATTATTAAAAAGTCTGCGTCATTTAAACAGTTGGATAGCCGAAGTTACAAATTAAAACTGATGCTTAAAGCTGCGATACAAAACCTACCTAGAACTCTTCCTTGAAGAACAACAGCACCATGCTGATTCAAATCTTGTGAGAAGGACTTCCGAAATGGTTCATATTGCGATTCCATATAATCCTTCGGTTCATCATGCACTAATCCATGATCCTACATGTACATGAGTGCATGTAATGTGAACAAAACAAATTAGACTGTGAAAACCATCAAATCTAAAATAAAATTTTGTATACAAAGATGTATAGTTGCAGTAACCCAAAAACAAAGCTCATTTATAAGATTAGGATATATTATCATGTCGTAAACGAGAAAGAGTTTTGCTTACAATTAATAGTATTTCAAAACTGCACTAACAAAAATAATTTAAGAAACATGTTCTAGAAATAAGCCTGCAGAATATGGGTGTGTGGCCAATGTACCTGGAGATGTATGTAATCATCGCCCTCATCAGCTTGCATGTCCACGGTTGGATCCACACGCCTGACCTGAAGGAAGGATTAATGTATTACATTGAGTGGAAAAAGATAAAAACAAAAGAAAAACAGCATTCCGGTTTAAGAATGTCAACTGAAGGAAAAACCACACTTCAAAAGAAATTACCTTTCTCCGAGCTTCATCTGCCAGCATATCATCTCGCTTTAGGAAAACAGCAAGCTCCTCATCTAAAGCAGCCTCTGCTGCTGCAACGCTTACATTTCTTGAACTATTCAGATATTCTGCTTTTGAATATTTGGTCCAGAAATCCTTTTCTGACAGCTGAAATACGATAATTTAATTTTTTTGTTAGTGATTTCCATTGGTATGGCACTTCATACAAACACAACTCGGGAATACAAATATATTTAAACATGTTCGTAAATATTTAACAAAATGACTGAATATATTTGCTAAATTTATTCTGTAATATCGGTAAAACACCATATGCTTCGAAATTTAATCATTTTAACTCACTAAAGGACAAGGAATATTGGGGCAATTATCCAACGAATCGGGATTAAGTATGAAGTGTCAAGGTCTCGGGAACCAAAGAAAGTTACTCCTCGATTTAAAATAAAGTGATTCTGGATAGTCATAAAGAGTTCAGTGTAACATGTGACAGCAACGAGACGCCAGTGCAAGTGTACAACAAGATATCAAGTAAACAGAAACTTCTGGAGAAATAATACAGAACTTCGATATATTTCCTACTCTGTGAGGGACAAAATTCAAATATGCTTGGCGAACTGCTGGTTTTTCGGAAAATATCTGTAAAAAACAAATTATTCGTAAGAAAGAGTGCCGTTAAGGCTGGGCAAACTGCACAATAGAAACATAGTAGAAGCATTAAGCAAGAAAAGTTACAGTCAGAAAATAAAGATAGTTTTTACTTTATGCACCGCTAGACATCAATCAGCGATTTGTTTCTAATATTCACCTATAATTTCGAAATTTACTCAGTTAAAGAGCTATTGAGACAGCACGATCATTTACGAGGTTATTTACATGACAAAAATTCAGAAAATGGCTGGAAGAAAATAACTACAATTTCAAATACACAATTTAATGAATGGATTATTTATGGGGTAATGTTGAGTGAAGTGATAATATTTCAAAGAAAAATGGTAAAATATGATAAAAATAATAGTAATAATACTAATTTGTCTGTTCTTCAGAACAATGTCGATGAATATTGATCCTTTGAATATTTGGTAAAGATGCTTTGATTTCTGCTCATGTTAAGAAAGTTACTTATCCGATTGCAAAAATTATCCATATCAAGCATAAGTTCACAGACCATAAAGGAGGAAAACAAACTGGAAGGAATAAGTAAACAGACCTGATGAATGATTTCTGGTGTCAAGTTAAATGTCACTTTGTTTGACTGAAACACAACAAACGTATTAGTGATTACAAGGTCCGATGTTCGAATGATACCAGAACGAACATTTCAAGGTTTAGAATATAAAAGGGGAGATAGGCCACTTCATTACAAAAAAAAGAAAACGGGGGGGGGGGGTGGCTTTCTACAGCCCTGCGCAGATTAGGAGGCCAAGAAAATATGTACAGGATAGAATGTGAACATGATGAAGCTGAGCACGAGTTAGAGCAAAGACCAAGCACACGCAGGAACATAAATAGTTGCAGAAAAGCATACAGCACGGAGGAAGGGGCTTCAGGGGAGCTATCTTGTACCTGACCATCGGATAATGGTTTCACAGTCCACATTTCATTTTTTAATGCTAGCCGCTGTTTTCGCCTTCTGCCATCACTCTGTTCCAGTAATTTCTGCAATTCATTAATGAACTCTAGTATTACATATATTTAGTTTCAGCCAATAGTTTGTAAAATGAACTAAAAGTGTCTTTACAATCAAGTCGAATATAATTCATACCAATAATATTTCACAAATTTAATTTGAAAACTACGTTGCACCACACGCCAGAAATTTTTGGCTTACAAAAACAGTAGAAAATATGGACCTCCTTTCCTTTCAGATATGCATTTTCTTTCTTTGTCATTTGTATACCTCCAAATAGAAAGAAGAAAAAAATGGCAAAGCGAACACAACCAGCTAACCTTCCTTGTTGCCCAAAATTCAGCATCTGTGAGAATACCTTTGAAGACAAATTGCTTGTGAAGTGTCTGTAGTTCACTGCCAATTACACTTATTCAGTACATTCACCATAGAAGTCCAAACTTTATAAAACTAAATAATTTTCCTTGAGAGTAGCAGATAACTTTTTTCGTGTATTGCAAATCAGTCATTCTTGCTAATGGTGCATCAGAGGCTACCTCAAGTAAGGTTCAGAAATGAACTATTTCACCCCAAAAGGAAAAATGAAGTGCAGGCGTTTAACAAAGATCACTGAAAGAATCATATGTCCTGCAGTCCTGGTTCTTCATTTTGATGTTATTAAAAGTAATGGGTACTGCTTCTGGATGAGATGAATCTAGATGAAAGTTTTCCTGAATCCTCAGAAAACATATTGGAACAAGAACATGAATTCCTAATTTCTCTTTAATTGGAGCCCTATAAAATAATTTTACTAATTCTTATCCACCATGATATATGTGCACAAAATAAGAAGAAAAAAAACTCTACCCAATATTGGCTAGGAATGCATCCTAACTTCGAGCAGTATGAAATTGTTCAAAAGAAAAAACAATCTTCAACTTCCTGATTCTGTAAATTCTAACCATCTCTTGTGGATGTCGAATCAACTTTACATTCGTTTTGAAACTGATCGTAACACCTACTAGTCAATAGCACTATATATACCATACATCCATACATGACCGAGATTGAAGATATAATTAAACCAAATAAAGAGCTAGTTTTATCAAAGCTAAATAACATCTGAAAATATGACTCTCTAGGTGTGAGAGACTTCTCAAAACAAGAATTTCTAAACAAGTGGAGTTACTGTATTTACCTGTTCTCCTGCAGTAGCTTAATACGTTGCTCTGTCTCTGCGGTGCTAAGATGTTCATTAACTGGAACGTCAGATTTTTCAGGTATTGTTTTCCCAGATTCAGAATGAAATGCAAGAGCATTCGCTGTTCATAAGATGACATATACGACAAAGTCAGTTATAGTAGATCCTGAACCTTTAAGAGCAACAACCACACAACATCATCCAATATATAAACTGTCATATTCGCTAATAATTTCACATAAGTGTTTCCACTAAAAACAAATTTCCAATTATCCAAACATTTAGCTAACTAATTTCCAGGAATAAATAACATGCCCGAGCAACAATTTTTTACTTCTTATGCCAACTAAATCGAGAACAAACTCCTCGCATCAACTTGGCATGCCATAATAAAGCAAAAGAAAGCATTTGAAGGCATAGGTAAAGGGGAATGGGTGAGCTAATAGAATGGAGCATAGAAATGGGGATAGGGAAAATATATCGTGTCTGTCTATAGCATGAAATATATGATCCAACATATAACAATTTTCGGAAGACAATCCAAAAGTAGATGCGTATAGAGAGATGGTGAACAATTCTCGTGATTGTGACTCACCGACGAATTCTTTGCATACATCACGGTCAGCAAAATTAGTAAATTCAAAAATATAATTACCCCCCTGAAATAATACAAACGGAAGATTGTTACTTACACTAAAACTTGTAAACTGCTCTGAAAAAATGGAAGTGTTAAGTATTGCAACTAATTAACAACCATGCACCTGGTCTTGGGTGAGATTCAGCAGGGCCTGTTTGGAACCATCTTTGGTGAATTTATGCCCTGGAATTTGCAAGTGAAGATAAATACAAACATCTAAATGGAAACATCCAGTCAAGATGGATGTGAATTCCATCAAGAACTTGTTTTTTTTGCTTTTAAATACAGAAGATGATTTACTATAACATTTGCCTTTCAATGGTATGCAATTACTAGCTGCTGTCATAATCAAGCGGAACGATTCTACTATGAGGGGAAGGCAGAAGAAACAAGCACCTTTAATCAGCTTGAACTCCACGTTTAGCTTCGTGGTTGATTTTGGATCGTTTGGCCTAAAAACAAATCTTTCGATTGTCTGGAAAAAAAATACCACAACTGTTAGATGAAAAAACCACATTACGAAATTCGAGAACAAGGGTTCTATTCAATACTCCACAAATTTCACACTCCGGCTAATCAACATTTCCCCAAAACTACACAGAAACCCCATTGGTCACACATATACAGAAAATAACACGCACAATCCAGAATCATTAGGGTTTAATACCAATTCGAGAATGCCGGGAACCCCGGGGTCCTTCACTGCAGACTTGTACTTGGCACGCTTAATCACTTGCTTTGCCGCCATAATGTATCAAGGTTAATAAATAGCGCAAAAAATATGATTATCTGCCCAATCAGGTATCGGTAATCTATCGCCGTATCGGAACGACGAGAATCAGTATTCATTAGGCATTACCCGTGAGGATTCCAGATTCGGCCGCGGGGATTTAGGGTTTTGACGGAGTATTGAATGGTGTTTTAGTTGCCGGCAAGTCGGTGCGAGGCCGAGGATGAGAAGAGAACCAATTTTTACGGCGTTTCAGTCGCCGGCGTTTCTGAGGCGCCAACTCTGTGTTCGTATGTGAGATTGAGAGAAGAGAGAGATAGAGAGAGAGATGTAGTGAGAGAAAGACGGGGAGGACAGATTATATATATATATAGAGAGAGAGAGAGAGAGAGAGAGAGAGAGATAGAGAAGAGAGATTCCGAATGCGCATGTGAATCTGCGGAAGTGCGTATATGGTATATATATAGCTGGTCACATAGTACTTACAAATGAAATTAATTTTTAATTTTCACTATTTGGGAAAACAAAAATATACCTATAATTTTATTCAAATTTTCAAATTTTATCAAACATTTGATTCATAACTTAAACCTACTAACATATATTTATATGACAAAATATCATAAGAATGTAATGAGTCACCCCGAAATTCGGGACATCGACTTCCGCCAACAGTGAACGTCATTAGGATAGCATCCCGTGCATATTCTACATTATAGCCTGCAATATTCAGCTTCAGCGAGATCAAAGGAAACTTGAATAGTTTATGCTAGACGAGAAATAAAGGACATAATCGATACATGGAACAAGGGAATACCGGACCTTATATGCTCACTCAAATTAGGGGGACCTATACATATAATTAATTAGTACAATATACCGAGGTCCCCGGTTCAGAGCCACACGTGCAAGTTCCCCTGCACGTGTCTCGTTCGTGCTTTTCGAGGCGCTGCCAGTGACTCGGCATTGGATAACGGGGCGGAACTGCACACGAAAGTTTTCAAAGCATTATCCGAGTGAGTAGGCAGCTCGGCCCGTGACAAAAAGCTCGTAGTATATCAATATTATTTTGCAAACACCACCTTATTTGCGTGTTATACTTGATTGAAAAGTGCTTCTAGGCTCGACGTAGGGCTGGCAATCGGGCCGTGTGAGCCGAGCCTGGGTCGGCTCAAGCTCATATACCATCGGGCCTCATTATTATAGGCTCAAGCTCAAATACCATCGGGCCTCATGCCTATAGGCTCAAACTCGGCTCACGCATTTTTTCGGGCTTCGGGTTTATATCGGGCTTATATCGAGCAATAAACAAATTACATATTTTACAACTTTGCAGTCGACATATTAAAGTAAAACAAAAAAAAAAAAAACTTCGCAGTCTAAGTGAAAAATCTAGACTATTCATTGAAAATCAAAATAAGCTTAAAAAATAAATAAATAAATAAAAAATCATAGTCTGTTCATTAAAACAAATAAAGCTTAATATTGCAAATATTTAATCCTTAATTAATTATACTAAAAAAATGCATCCGAGGCCAAAATGAAAAAAAAAAATCATAAGATAAAATAACTAGAAGCAATTCTAAATGTCCTTAACTCTTTTCGAAAATCTTGAGACCTAAAATAAAAAAAAGGACAACAAATATATATATATATATATATATATATATATATATATATGTATAGTCGGGCTTTATTCGGGTCGAGCCATGGTAAGCTCAGACTCGGCTCATAGTTTAATCGGGTTTAATAAAACGGCTCAAACTCGGCCCGGCTCATAATTAATGGGGCTCGGCTCAAATAAAATCGGGCCGAGCTATCGGGCTTCGGGTAGGCCCGGCTCAATTGCCGGTCCTAGCTCGACGTGAATCTTTTCGGAGTTTTGAGTTTGGATCTAGTAAGCGTAAGTCATAAAAAAAATGTTGTTTTTTGGGCTTTGATTGAATTAATTAAAACTAGGCTTCTGGACCAATAAATAATAATTATTGGGCTTATGTTGAATAATTATTTTTCAAATTCCTCTTTTCCATTGATTGGGAGATCCGGATAATATTCCCTCCATATTCTTCTTCTTCCCATGGCGGCCGACCAAAACAAATTGAAATTCAATTTTAACCCCTCTCTCTCTCTCTCTCTCACACACACACACACACACAGACACACTCAGGCAGCTTTGTACGAGATCGCCGACGCCGAGGCGAAACGATTAGCAATTTCACCATCCTACGGATCTTAATAAGGTAAAGTATTCTTCTGCAACTTTTGGTGAAGCTCTATTTGCATTTGTTCTCGCTTACGATAATTGAAGATCTCATTTACTTCATATCGCGTGATGATGCTGGAAAAATTGATGGATATTTTCCGTTGTAGAATTCGTCTATCAACTCTGGGCTAGAACCCTATCTCCGTCTAATTTTGATTTTCTACAGAAATTAATGTTACCTGTAAATGTGTATTTTCACCCTCTTTGTGTGTGTGTGTGTGAAAATGTTGGTGTGTGTACATTTTGGATGTGTGACAAATTAGGCTAATGTTCTGTGATTTGACAGAAAAAGAATTTGGTAGACAAATGTATGATCATTTTATTGTGTGAGGTTTTCAATTTGATTTATGTCGTATAGGTTATCTTATTTGTGTTCTTCGTTTAGGACAGTGTCGTATATCTCTGGTTAAAGAGAAAAAAGATAGTTAGCAAACCAGGGTAGTGAAAACAAACATCGATTCTCGTAAGTAACAAATCACAATTTTGTTTCATACATTCAAATCACAATTTTGTTTCTGAAAATGTGTAATTTCACCCTCTTTGTGTGTGTGTGTGTGTGTGTGTGTGTGTGTGTGTGTGAAAAAATGGTGTATGTACATTTTGGATGTGTGACAAATTATGCTAATGTTCTGTGATTTGCCAGAAAAAAATTCGGTGGACAAATATACGATCGTTTTATTGTCTGAGGTTTTCGATTTGATTTATGTCGTATTCTTCGATTAGGACAGTGTCGTATAACACTGGTTAACAAGCATAAGATAGTTAGCAAACCTGGTTAGTGAAAACAAACGTCGATTCTCGTAAGTAACAAATCACAATTTTGTTTCATACATTGTACATCGTTTTACACTGCGGTTTTCTTATCTAGTTCAACCCAAACTATATACACATCGGACGAAGATTCATCCGCCAATCAAATCAAATCAATTCCTGTACACGTAAAAACAAACTTACACAAAAGAATATCCATCTTCAGACAATGAATTGCTGTACTTTCACACTAATATATTTTTCCATTTTTTTTCGTTCAGACAGGATTAATCAGAAGCCCTTCCAAGCAGCGAGAATTTCGTTCAGTACTTCAGAAATCAGTTCTCTATCCGCACACAGAACAAAGGCATTGAAATCATCTCTAATATCGAAAATCTTACCAAACTTCACCAGATACTTCATGCAGCTACTCTTCAGTTTTGGTAGTTGATATAAAGAAGCGTTCTGCAGTCGTTCTAGAACGTTCTTGGCGTCAATATCTTCTAGAAGGCTCTCGTGGCAGGCTTCTTTCAAATCCGAAATGTCGTACTTATCCGCCGCCCGAAGTAGGGCCAGCCTGTGCGTCAGAAATTCCTCGTTCTGTATGTTTCCGTATATGTAGTTCAGAAAAGCCTGACAAGGTTCGATTGACATGTCTGAAATGTTTATCGCAGATAGTTCTTTCTCTTTGAGATCGTGCGAGAACATGCTTCGGAAAACTGGTGACCTGGATGCTAGAACTGCCCTATGTGCAGAGATGCTTCCGTCTGAGGCGTTGATTGCAATATCCGTGTGGATGCTTTCGGACAACATTCGACCTAGTGATGTAAGAGCTGTTTCATTTGATTGTCTCTGTGTGAATCCTTCGCTCCAAATCGAGCAAAGTTCTGTGCCCTGTGTCATTCAACAACCGCAAAATTCGTGCCGATAGTAAGTTTTTTTTCTTCTTAAATCATACAATTGCTTTCATCAGCCTTTTGATTTCTTATAAGTAGGGTTGAAATAGGAACGGAAATTCCGATCCAAAAAATTCTGATTTGGGAATAATATTTTTCATTCTGAATTCTGAATTCTGAAAATTCCAATTTCGATTTTTTCCCGATTATTTTGAGACCGGAATTGAAATACGTATGAGATTCCCATTTCGGATCCGATTTTAATTTTTGAAAATTACACTTATAATATCAATGTTATTATTCATTTTATATGCTAGGTGAGTAGGTGACTAAAACTTTGGAAATCTCTGAATTCCACCAATTCCGATTCGAAAATTTCCAAATTTGGAACGAGTTTTTTCATTCCAATTTTTTAATTTTCGATTTTTCCGATTTTTTTTTTTTGGAACGGAATCGAAATTAGATTTTTACTTCTGGAAAAGATCCGAAGTTTATGTCCGATTTCCAAGTCCCATTAATCATACTTCATACTAAATCACTTCTTAAACAGGTACTTCATTGTTTTGAACATAATTAGAACTGTTCTATTATTTAAGATGATATTTATTTTATTTCAGGTAATAAAGGAGATAACATCTTACGTCTGGAGATCCGATTTTCAGATCAAGAAACTCAACATCGATGATGAATTTGCCACTTAACGGAACCTCGATAGCCCAGACGAAATCCTCGTTGCTTTTGAGCTGCTTATCGGTAATTTCTGCATATCATAAAAATAAAAACCATGCATGTTAGTTTTAATTCAAATATGGATCATAAATAAATATTTATTACCTGGATGAACTAAACACTTGCGATCTCCCACAGAGGAAACCACTCTGATTACGAACGATGCAATCGGAGGATTCTCTCGAGTTAAATTCGATATTTCGGGGTACAGTTTAATGAACAAGGCCCTGTTCTTCTCCATAGATAAATGCCTTCAATATATACAAAAAGAAAAAAAGAATTTAACGTTGATCATGGTTTTGTTCTATTCTACACACATCCACATGTATGTGTGTGATTGTGCGTAAATCGGAGGTGAAAAATAAATACCAATTCCACTTGCCGATCTTGAAAGGATCGGATTTTCTGTAAGTGCAGGAGGCGAGATTCTCGATCCGCCATTGGGCGAGGCGCGACGTCGTTTCGACTCGGTAGGCGGACTCACTCATCCTAGTGAACACAAGCGCCGCCGTGATTTCATTGATGCAGCCGAAGAATCCGTCCAGGAACTGATGGTCGCCGTGCTTTCCCAGGTTTGCCTTCTGCTCTCCTCTTCATATATTTTTATTCAACTCTCTCTCTCTCACACAGTACACACACAGTCTCTCTCTGTTTCTCACACCACTATATATATATATATATTATATATTTGAATATTTTGAATATGTTTTGGAGTGAAGATTGTTGATTAGTTGAATATGGAGGTTTCCGGTACGCAAGGTTTATGTTTGATCGTTCTCTACGCCATTGATGGTGAAGTTTTTTTTGAGTGATTTTATTTGCTTTGTTGTTTTCTCTCTTTACTGTGTGTCTCTCTGTGTGTGTGTTTGTGTGAGAGAGAAAGATAGAGAGAGAGAGAGAGTAGAGAGAGAGATGATGTGTTGGCTTACACTGCACTTCAGGTTGATGTGTTTGATTATTTAAAGGGGGGAAGATTTTTTAGTGTGCTTTTCTCAATTTTTTTTAGCCAAATGACGTCAAGACCAAATTACGAAAATGCCCGTCTGATTTGGATAATTATAATTACTTACCCTGAATTATATACGTAAATTTTTGTAGACCTAAATTTATCTGGGTAAAATTCATTTTGCACCCCTGTACTATGATAAATATATCGTTTACCCCCCTGAAGTATTGAAAACATCAAATACCCCCCTGCCGTTAGTTTTTTTCTTCTAATTTCGTTAGTCAAACCCTTTGACCGACTATTGCAAAGAAATGTTGGCTTTTTAACCAAAATACCCCAAAAAATTTCTATATATAGATTTCAGGGCTTTTAGTTTTCATTTTTTGTGGGTTTTGTGTGCCGTTAGTTTTCCTATATATAGAAATTTTTTGGGGGTATTTTCATTAAAAAAAAGCCAACATTTCTTTGCAATAGTCGGTCAAAGGGTTTGACTAACGAAATTAGAAGAAAAAAACTAACGGCAGGGGGGTATTTGATGTTTTCAATACTTCAGGGGGGTAAACGATATATTTATCATAGTACAGGGGTGCAAAATGAATTTTACCCAATTTATCTACTAAACGAGGGGTTTTATTAGTATGAAAATATATAGTTGGGGAGTAATTGTAATTATCAAAATAAGAAAGGATTTTTCGTAATTTGGTTTCACTTCGGAGTAGCCGTAATTTGTCTTTTTCTTTTTTAACTGGCATTTCGTAAACTACTTTACACTTTGAATAAAATTTCTCTGTTTTTTGTCCTTCCAAGCAAAGAATCTATTTTGCTTTTTTTAAAACTTAAAAAAAATACTAATTTTGGAATAATTATGGTTTGTTGAACATGCTATATGAATGTGTAATGAAGCATTTCTGGGTAGTTTTCTCTAGTGTTGGTAGCATTATGCTTCAAGAAAAGAATATATGTTGTGTGTATAATTGTTTTTTTTTAATCGACTTAATCGCGTACCCGTTTTGTTATTCTAAATTTGCTGAAAAAAGTCCTCGTGTGGTTTTTATTAGTATAAATCCTTATATTTACGACGATTTTTTCAGCACACAATCCGTTAATTGACGAGTTTTTAGGAGTTAAGGGAGGATTTTTTCTTTACTATAAAAATATACAACTATTCAAATAAATACTTGTGTGTACTTATGCAATAAACCCAATTTTTTTTTATGAAATCAGTTTAAAGATCTACGAGATGCTACACTCGGTGAAGTACACCGTTGATTTTACACTATAGATATGTTCGGATAACTATCCACTAAGCAAATATACATACATAAGGGTATGTATGAAATGCAACACTCGATGAAGTACATCGGACGATTTTACACCATAGATCTGTACAAATAACTACTCACTAAACACACATACATATGAATGTGTGTTGCAATTATATATTATGTGCAGATCAATTTTGTAGAATCACACGATGAAATACAGTGGATGTAGCCTCTACAAAACCACTTTTAGTTGGATTTATTACTATGTGAGATCAAATGTAATTATGACAACTATACTTGTATTTCTCTACAAAATTATTACTAACAATTATGAGAAAAGGGGAATAATTACAAGAATCCTAATTCCTACACGTCATCATCCATCTATTTTCTCCAACTTAAAACAAATAATTAAATCCAAACAAGCAACCATTATATATTGAAATATTTTTTGTTGGTTGTCTACTTTCAACACACTAGAGCAAGTTGTCTTCTGTACAGTGTGCAAGACTAAATAAAATAAAATTAATTAATTAATTAATGACCATTATTTTGATTTGATATTAATCACAAAAGAAATGGGGTAAATAAAGTAAATAATAGTTTTTGTGGGGGCTTTGATTGTTAAGTATTGGAATCTTGGAATCATGATAAAAGGTGGGGTCGCCCACCCCCTGCCGGAATCCTTTCTAAAGTGTCCTGATATTTCAAGCAATCAAATATTATTATTTAATTACTTTAATTAATAAAAAAATACTCACAAGTGGCCAATAATTATTGGCTGCATCTCTCTCTCTCTCTCTCTCTCCCCATGCTTTTGGGGGCTGATACATTTACAGTAGAGCCCACTAATGAAGAATGGTGGGCTACTGAAAGTCTCGTCTCATTAATTGATTTTATTTATTAATTTATATTTTAAAAATAAATGTTATAAATATTAATATTGGTGTCTGAATTTTGTTAAAATTCAGCCGGTGTAATCTTTATTGGGAGTAGCATAGAAATAACTTGCTAAACCGGGTGAAATACAGTTGGTATATATTTACTATATACACACAGTGTGTGGATTAACTGGTGTAATCTTTTTTATCGGATGTAGCATAGAAATAATCAACCGCAAAGTATTTGTATTGTCAATCCTAGGCAATCAAGAAGATACAAATGTGATAAATTAGGTGAAACAGGTAGTTAAACTGCATTTTCATTATCAAGAAAACTGCTACATCCATCCTATTTCACCTAGTCAACGATTGGAGATTGTTCAACAACATGTTTAGATATTTTAGAAAATTAATCATATGAAAGTCAAGATTTCATAGGATCTAAAATTGATATCTAAGGCTTTCAAAACATATATTAGAAAACAATTACCTTCGTCCCATAATATTTGTCGTTCTGAATTGATTTCATAATAATATCGCCTTGCATCAAATTATCATCCAACCAAGTCCGTCTTTAATTAACGTATATCATTCCACGTAGAACAAAGGCACGATTTTTAGGTCATTATTCATTGAACTCTTGAATCTTGTTTTAGATATGCCCTCTTGAAGTAGATCAGTTAAATAATATATCTTATTTCCCTCTAAAAATTTAATAATCAACACATCATTCTACGTCATTAAAGTACGGTGACAATTTGAACAAGGAATTTAAAGTTGATCATTGTAAGATAGATCCAAATGAATTTAGATTGTGGTTAGCAAAGCCCAGCCCGAGCCCATGAAAAATGGTGCGGTTGGCCCAATGGGCTTCCCGAAGTTATATTATTTTGCTTACATAAAAAAATAGCCGTTAAACAATTTCTTTATTAAAAAAACGTAATCTTCGAAGCAGATTCCGATTCCATGCTGACCGAAAGGCCTGGCTGCTCTCTGCTTGTTCAAGGCCTTTCGGGCCGGGCCGTGGTGGAGATTCTCCGGGTACCGCTGGATTTCGCCGTGCTTTTAGATTTGCAGCAGTGCTTAACTCCATCTCGGAATAATGAGTTCTTGAATATGTTGAAGTTGATGCAAAAGAAGGCTTTGCAATTATATGTTGGAGCTGAGAAAGCTGATAATTCGAATACCGAATTGTAGGTTGAGAATCGTAACAAATGATGATAGTTTTGATACATTTAAAAGTTGAGGCTTCGTCACATTTGAAAGTATCGATGCAGTTTTTTTATACTAGTTGTATTCGTATTCGTTTCGTGATATAACGGAAGCATATAGATTGTATCCTTCGCATTGAATATCATGATGAATATTTGTATAGATGGAAGCTTCTGTTGTCATGTTAGAGTCGATTGATTATTGATAGACTGATTAAATGTGGCAATGTTATTAGGATTCAATGCGATTCTCTAGGAATTCAAGAAAAGCCCGTATAAGGTTTCTGCAGAGTGAACGGTGCTTTCGTTTGGTATGTATTCTGATCACATTTGCCTTAGTTGTTCATATCGTCTAAACGTAGTGTGATGTCGTTTATCATGACCTTCGATATTTTCTAGCTTAGTTTTCATTTTCGTTTATTCAATAAAGTATGCACTGGAATTTCGAACTTGTGCTTATTTTCCGTACTGGCTTTGAAATAGTTCCATGAGGCTTTTGGTAAGTTGGGTAAATAAATTCCGATCGTTTTTCCCACCCTGAAGCGTGTATATTAAATTAGAGTAGTCCGCCATCATTTTTTCGTTATTACCAACTGCTAAACTAAGTTCTTGTATCCATCATTATGTGAAAGATTACAAATCTAGAATTATTGCAACATGATCAAAGAAGAAAATTAGGCGAAAACATCGAAGCCTTAAAAACGCTCGTTTGTGTATGTCAAAACTATAAAGCCCTAGGATAAAGAACACCGTCACATTCTTTACATTCGATCCGTTTCTTGTGCTTGAAAAACTGCCATTCAAGTGATTTAAAAATCTTACATGTATGACAAAAACAACAGATTAAAAAAAAAAAAAAAAACGGTCCATCATCTCTTAGTTCGGCAGCTATGCGAAATCAAAACACCGTTAGGTGGACTCGTCATTTCTATCAAACAATTCCCATGCAACAAATAAGAATAACGAACAAAACCCGCGTTTACCTTCACTTTAAAAGTTCCTTTTATATTGTAGATAACTCTGTTCCTCTGCTCCTGCTTTTGAAGCTCGAGTGCAAGAACCGGCGGCAAATAGACCAAACTGGAAATCAGATGAACTGGAATCAACTTCACTTGACCATGCCTCTGATTGAACGGCTGAAGAACTTGAGTCGCTATCAGACTTTCTCGAAAGTAGAGCTCAAAATACAGGTACTCGAATCTCACACTCAATTTCTTATTCGGGTTCGAAAAATTCGCAAGAAACGTTAGATCTCCGTTGAGGAACTCCGGTGAGTCGAAGTAGATGACGTTTAGGTTCGCCGCCGAGGTGTCGAAAACGGGGTTTCTAGGTTTGATGTGGACGAAGATGATTAGTGTTGTTATACCGAAGAAGATTAGGAGGAGACTGAATAGCAAACATAGGATTGCGCAGAACCAAACGATGGGATTCGTTCTTCGAGGTTGCCGGAGAATCGGGTGGTCTCTTTGTCTGAGCTTGCCTTGTTTGGACAAGACTGTTTGGTTAAGAGGGGGTGGTCTGTAAGCTGGGGGTGGGGGGAGTGGATGCATTTCTGAATTTTTATTCATTTTATTTTGATTTTTATTTTTGGGATTAATGGGATCAAGAAAATGTTGTTTGTGAATGGATTTGAATGGAAGAGGGGAATGAAGTTATTAAATAAAAATTGGGAGTGGATTCAGGGAAGGTCGACGGATCACAAGCGGAAAAAAGCATCGAGTATGGGTAGGGGGGAGAAGCTCTCGTAAGGCGGCAAATCCATATTGGGAGTTCAAGTAAGTCATCAAAGATGAGGAAC